GGCATTCCAGAATTTCGGTCAAGATTTAATGAGATTGTCGAAATGGTGCGGTCGACAAGACAAAAGTTCCAAAATTGGAAGTCAGGAAATACGGATTGGGTTGGACAACTTTCAGTGCTGAGGAAGTGCGTACACAAGGCTCTACGAGCAGTCGCGGTGAGCGGCCGTCCGCCTTCGTCCGCCAGCCAATCGGAGAAGGGGCAGATTTGATTGGCTTCAAGTATTAACGCGGCTAGTGACAAACCTTGCGCGGCCCCCGCAGTGAATCGATAGGAAGCGCTAGGCGGACAGAAGAGCAGCATGACAAAGCGGCGGTGAGCAATGAAGCGCGGACCCCCACAAAGTAACACATCAACTGCACATCGAGGTAAGGCGGTGGAAGGGGAAACCAGCCAGTGAATGAGGAACTAGGTTGAGGAGATCTAGGCACGGTAGGTGTGTTGACTCATTAAATGTTAACTGAAATTCTGAAAAGCGTCTTCGAATCGAAAAGATTACTTAAGTAGGATCGCAATATTAACCATCATGCAGCATAATCCCATGATAATTCAGTTACTTCCAAACGCTGGCTTTTGAATGAATTTTTTTCTCGGCTGCCTTCAACAACTACACTCTGTAAAAAGTGACTACGTAAGTTGTATGGATTTTTCTCATGGATTTTCAATGCCCTTATAGCTTCAAATATGTCATACAGAAAACATGCATAAAATACTCATTCTTTACTTATTTCAAAGCGAATTACGTCTTCTGTAAATTTTATACTTGAAGGAAAGGTATAATTCGGTTTTAAAAAACGTTTCCAATTCCCGAGTACTTTTGAGCCCGACCTGAAGTTACAATTGTATTCAGGGTTTCAAAACTACAAGCTCTATATTTTCCGTTTGCGAAAACCCACACAATTCTCTGCAATATTAAGAGGCGACCATTTGGAGTTCATAAAATTCAGCAGTGAATCTGAACCGTATCATAAACTCTACAATCAACAGTGGTAAATGTAGAGACACAATGTTTTATGAGAGAGAATTTTACTGTCTTAAAAAATTATAATTAGAGACTCTTTAAAACCGAATTATACTCCTCGCCCAGATAAAAAATTTACAGAAGACGTGATTTCCTACCAAATGAGCAAAACAATGAATATTTTTCATGCATGCTTTCCATGAGATATATTTAAATTTATAGAGGCATCGAAAATATATTAAAGGAATTCGTGCAATATTAGTAGTCATTTTTTACAGTGTGTAGTTTCTGCCGGCGGCCGGAAAGAAATTTATTTAAAAGCCGACATTTAGAAGTGATTGCATTATTATGGGATTATGCTGCATGTTAGTTAATACTACGATCCTACTTAAGTTATCTTTTTGAGTCGAAAACGAATTTCGAAGGCCCCTACCATGGCTAGCCGCATTGCCATCTCTTCTGCTCTCGCATGAATCTGCTAGCACCCGAAATTTTTCTGTTTTTACATCAAAGACCCGAACCTGAACAGAATGGTGATGTTCTCGCTAAGCGGTTTCATCACTCTTTACAAATGTCCCGCTCACAGAGACAGTCGATTACATCTGCGAATACCTATCGGCCAGTCAGCAGGAAAAAGGGCTACCGATGATCGCACTCAAGGAACTATGGTAACAATCGGGAGATGGCACCCGAAAAAATCCGTTACCTAGAAATAATACATTTAACAGTAGACTCAAACTCCTTCAGGCTATATCAGCGGTTGCAGGCCTATTTTCACGCACTACTTGGACTTTCCCCGACGGCCTAACATGGGCTGACCGAACGAAGATCGCAGAAGGTTACATGGACGATGGTCGCTGTTATCCAACCTTCCCGATCGTTGCACACGTACACCTGGATATACGGCATATATTTGAATTATGGCAGTTTATTACAAAACAAAAACACTTTTAAATAGGATAAGTCTGCACAACACGGGACAGGAACAATTCCCAGGCATCTGTCAAAGACATGGCATTGAGGCCAAACCAAAGACGATACTGTACTTCGTTTATGTGAGCCCAGACAGCTCGACCACGTACAGGGCCTCCCTCGTGGAGTTTCCTTTGCAGTCTACTCCAGTACGCCTCAATGACATTGGCGTGCCGTCCGGTAGTAGGGTCCTTGGAGTTCTTTGAGTGGTTAACAGAGAAATGCAGATAACCTTCTGAGGGAAGACGATTATACGCCTTCCACTCGTCCGTTACTACTATACTGCCTTTGGCGACCCATTTTGTAATAACGAAACGGAGAGCGGGCCATCATCAACCATTCAACTGTTCAAATAAGGCTTTCCGTCGGCTTGTATCGTACATCCCGACCAGCCAACACCCATAACATCCCTATTACCACCTGTCCCGTAAGACAGGTTGCTGTGATTAGGCGGATTTTTTAGGTGCCATCTCCCGATTGTTACCGGAACTATTATTGAGATGTACAGCAAATTGACAGATTCTTTTTACAACCAACCATATAGACAAACAGACGGCGTTGCTATGACCTCGCCCTATTGGTCCTCCACTAGCCGGTGTCTCCCTGCGCAAATTAGATAAATTTCAACTAAACAACCAGATCAATAAGTTACGAGATTACGCTCGCCACGTAGACGATATTTTCACAATCTTCACTGTAGAAACCAACATATCTGCCCTTTTATTTGCTGCAAATAAGACATATCCATCGATCAATTTTGCGGGTGGAGGGGGTGGAAAGGGGGAGATTCGCTCCTTTTCTTGGACTCCCATCTAGACAGAATGGTGGGGTTCGAAGGAGCATCTGTATCGCCTCAGACGAAATTAGGCCTTCTGCCTCTGGCACCTACGCGTGTTAGGAGTCATGTGATCACGAATCCCGAGCGCCAGAATATCAGCTCCGACGATGGTCAATCACGGGCGCCCACGCACTCCACCAATATCACCCAATCAACTGACCAGGCTAATAGTGCCTGACTCTCACGTGACGCGCATTCGCTCACGCTCACGACCCCCTAGAGAGAGGAAGTGCGCAAACCTACAGGTGGTCCCGCGTCGGGGGCTCTGGCACGACTCCTACCGGTGCCTCTCCCCTTCTCCTCAAAAGCGGAACTGGGCGGAGATTATTTAAACGTTCTGAATGCACTGTCACTGCTTAGACGCCCACACATCCATTGAAAGAAAACATGGTTTGGAAAATATGACGTAAGTTATGTCGTTCCCGCGAACTAACGAACTTCGGCTTACTAACCTCATAAACGGAGAGAGGTAAGGATGGCCAGTAAGTGAATAAAGTTAATATTGAAAATGTGCAACGACCTGACCAGAGAGCATGCAAGCGGCGCGAAGCTTACGATCGGCGGAGTCTGCGTCACGTTAAAACAAATGCTACAGTAAAACAAACGTGACCAGATTGTCAAAGGTCAAGTAGTCAAGTACTTCAGCACAGTACCCCCCTCCGAGACCGGAGGGCGGCGTGAACGACGCCGGAGGACATACAAAGGTCTAGGAGAAATGAGTAACTAGACGATCGGACAAGTGAACGTGACGTCCACTGCGGGAGATATATGCGGGAGGCACTGTTGGAAGCAGCTGAGTAGGTGTTGTAGTGGACAAGTTAAGGGTGGAGGAAGAGGTTGCAGTTTAATGCTGCGAACAAGAACGAAGAGGAAGTATACGGGACGGAGTGCTAGGTGGGGAAAGTGGAAAAGGAGTGGGAGGAGGTATGGGGTCAGCACATGCTTGTCCTTGAGACACGTCCGGGGGCTCCTCTGCAACAGCAGCCTTGACCCAGTCGATGCTGACTACGTCCTCTTTGTCAACTCGCAGGATCCGAAAGGTCTTGCTGTTACGTGCAAACACACGGAAGGGTCCTTCGTATGGTGATTCTAACGGCTTCCGCACACGATCACACCGAACGAAGACATGGGTGCAGTTGGCTAAGCCTTTTTCAACATAAGACTCGGCCGATGGAGCTCGAGGTGGAACCGGGGAAAGCGAGCGCATTAATTGTCGCAGACGATGCACAAAATTTTCGGGGGTCTCTTCGGCACCACGAGAGGTTGGGGTGACCATCTCACCAGGGAGTCGGAGGGTAGTGCCGAAAACCAATTCGGCTGCGCTGCAGTCCAAGTCTGACTTCAGTGCCGCACGAATGCCAAGAAGGGCAACGGGTACATTGTCTGACCAGTTTCCGGGATCTTCTGCGGCACGCAGTGCAGTTTTTAGCTGGCGGTGGAAACGCTCAACCATGTCGTTGGCAGCTGGGTGGTAGGCCGTCGTCCGAATACGTGTGCAGCCAAGGAAGTTGAGGAGAACTTGGAAAAGTGTGGACTCAAACTGCGCGCCTCGATCAGTCGTAATCATGGATGGCGCACCGAATATGGCAACCCAACGACTGAAGAAGGCTTTCACAATGGTCTCAGCTTGCACATTCCGTAAAGGAATGGCTTCCGGCCAACGGGTATAGCGATCAACGCAGGTGAGAAGGTGAGTATAGCCATTGGATGGAGGTAAAGGACCTACGACATCTAAATGCACATGGTTGAACCGTGCATCGGGGCTGGGGAACGTGCCCGATGGAGACTTGTTGTGGCGTTGAACCTTGTTACGTTGACAGCAAAGGCACGATCGTGTCCAAGCTTTCACATCCTTGTTCAACCCAGGCCATACGAACCTTTCCGCGAGGAGCTTCTGTGAGGCTCGATCCCCAGGATGTGAGAGTCCGTGGAGAGTTTGAAAAACAGCTCGACGGATCGAGGCAGGCACATAAGGGCGATGAAAAGGAGTCGATACGTCACAAAGGATTTTGCCACTGCCGGTGGTCAATGGGACGTCAACTAATTGAAGACTGTCAACAGACTCGTCGCCAGGGCATCCAACACGTCGTTGTCCAGCCGCCATTGCACCAAGATCAATCCTGTGTGAGAGGTGAAACGCCGAGAGGGAAGGTCTGGACAGCATGTCGGCCACCTCATTCTTCGGGACATCAATGTGGCGGATGTCGGTTACGAATTGCGAGATGTAATCCTAATGAGAAATCTCTCTCGGGTTATATTTGTCAGAATCGGATCGGATGGCAAATGTAAGTGGTTTGTGGGCTGTCAAAATTGTGAAGTCACGACCCTCAAGGAAGTGTCGGAAATGTTTTACGGCTAGGTAAATGGCAAGAAATTCACGGCCAAACGTGCTATATCTCGTCTTGGCAGGTGAAAGCTTCTTGGAGAAAAGTGCCAACGGTCGTGTCAAGTCGTTGATTTGCTGTTGGAGGACTGCTCCTACGGCAACGGTCGAAGCATCAACCATCAGGGACGATGGAGTTTCTGGAGCAGGATGAGTGAGCAGGGTAGCATCAGCAAGGGAGGTCTTTATTCTCTCAAATGCAGTCAGCGCGTGGCCACGTAACTCAAGGGGACCCTTGGGACCAGAGAGCAAGTTGGTGAGTGGCAGCATAAGGTCGGCACAGTTCGGTAGGAACCGGCGATAAAAGTTTACCATGCCAAGGAAACGTTGCAGCTGACGCTTAGAGGTTGGTGGAGGAAAGTCACGAATGGCCTCAACCTCGGAAGAGAGGGGACGCAAACCTTGTGCATCGACACGGTGACCAAGAAAATCAAGGGAAGGCACACCCAGAACACACTTCGAAGGGTTAAGGACCACGCCAAACTGATCGAGGCGGTGAAACACTAAGGCAAGATGCTCTTTGTGTTCCTCGGCATTTCGACTGGCCAGCAAGAGGTCATTGATGTAGGCGTACACAAACGGGAGATCACGTAGGACTCGGTCAATGAACCTCTAAAATGTTTGGGCAGCATTGCGAAGACCAAATGGCAAGTGAATAAATTCGAACAGGCCCAAGGGTGTGGTGACGGCAGTTTTGGGAACATCCTCAGGAGCGACAGGAATCTGATGGAAGGCCCAAACAAGGTCAATCTTCGAGAAAACCGATTTTCCGAAAAGAGCTCCAGCTCCGGATAACGATCCGGGATGGTCGCATTGTTGAGGGCGCGATAGTCACCACAGGGCCGCCAGTCGTCCGATGACGCCTTGGGCACCATATGCAGAGGGGACGCCCATGTACTCTCGGACGGCCGAATTATGCCCAGTTGCAGCATGTGCTCAAATTCGGCCTTCGCCGCTTGCAGACGGGGCAGAGCCAGTCGTCTAGGCCGTGCGAATACTGGGGGGCCAGAGGGGCGAATGTGGTGAACAACGTCATGCTGGATCTCACCACTGCGAAACTGGGGTTTGATTATGTTGGGGAGTTGGAGGAGCAGGTCTCGGTATGGGCAAGCAATACCTGCGTCCAGAACAGATAACTTGCAGGAGTCATTAAAGGGTGTAAGACCGCAGACAGAAAGACCAGTTGTGTGGTCGAGGAGACGGGAACGTCAGGTTGTTGAGTTGAGGAAGACAAAATAAGCAAAATATAGGTAGCACAATATCGTGAAAAGGTTAGCGAGAAATGTAAATGAACTAAAATTTAGCAAATAAATACAGGACGTTAAATGTCATTAGATGTTACGGAAGGAAAGAACTTAAGTCTGCGCTAACGTCATGAGTCACCAATGACGTAAGTTATGTCGTTCCCGCGAACTAACGAACTACGGCTTACTAACCTCATAAACGGAGAGAGGTAAGGATGGCCAGTAAGTGAATAAAGTTAATATTGAAAATGTGCAACGACCTGACCAGAGAGCATGCAAGCGGCGCGAAGCTTACGATCGGCGGAGTCTGCGTCACGTTAAAACAAATGCTACAGTAAAACAAACGTGACCAGATTGTCAAAAGTCAAGTAGTCAAATACTCCAGCACAAATATATGGACTTCTACAGCTTCTTACCCCTTTAACAGAAACACAATCTAGTCCGTTGTTTGGCGCAAAGGACTGGAGACGTTTGTTCTACAGACACCATGGGCATGGAACTTAGAAATATCCAACGCCTGCTTGGCGAGAACAAGAATATTTCGAGAGAGGTCCGCAAAAACCCATCACACAGACGGCGGAAAAGAAAACTACGTTTCAAAAGGTGCCTATTTCAAGGGGACGCAGCGAGTGAAGTCCTGAGAAAACGCCTTGACTGGGTTATTTCACGGATCTTTCCAGCAGCAAGAGTTGGGGCATTATTTTCGACTAACCCTGTTTTACTTGAAGAAAGTGGGGATGGGTTGCTAACATAGGCTACCTATATGTGCATTTACGCTTTTACTTGCTCCCGTGGATCAAGTTACATTAGTCAAGCGAGCAGGCGGCAATTTCAAAGAATGCTTATGCAGTGGAGAAAAATGAAAGTAAGAGTATAAACAGCATTTTTCTCGCGCGTATTGTTGTTTCCGGACATCGCATGGGCCCCAACGAAACCTCCCATGAGATTTGCAAGGTCCCACTGAATTAGCCCAAGCATCTGGGTCAGTGGCGGCTAGCAACAGCAGAGGCGACTGTCATTAGGATACGAAGGCTGTTCCTGTTCATGCAGAAGAACCTTGTGCAAACTCCTCGCCTGCCTTGGCCAAAGGTTGGTTAATTGCATGCACCTCTCCACGTCATCCCTCTATTCCCCTTGTTGTGACCAGGTGGTGTGAGTTTGTGCAGAATGTGAGCTACCATCGTCGAGTCAGATCCCAAGTTGTAGGGAGAAGACGGAAGTTACCATTTCGAGGGTTTTATTGTGCACAGAAACCGGACTTGTCCTAGCAGGCGGCAGGGGCCATTGGCGAAGCCGGGGCTGTTGTTGACTGCGTCCAGTCATGCCTGAGAGTCCCTGTGATAGTTGTGGCAGCGGTTTTTGTAGGCTCGTGGGCCATGCCCAAGTGTTATCCAGTCAGTGTGTGATGCATTTACCGAGGGGTGGTGTCCCAGTGGCTTGTTTTGCTGGTTGCAGGGGGTGGCGCGTTCAAGTGACGCATGGGTAGCCGCAACACTGTGAGGACGCAATTGTGTTAGAGCTGAAGTCGGTCGAGTGACTTCAGGTCAGCGCTTCCGGAGCGGCTCACTGCAAAAGGTTGAATGACCTTGAGGCAGCGAGGTCTTGAAAAATGACGCTAGACCGGTCATGATGGTCGCACGGTACACCCTAACCCTCATCCCACTTTTATGAAAAGATCAACTTTAATCGATTTTTCTACTCACTCACAAGTTTTGTTTGTGCCCCGCTCCCCTAGAGATGTGCTGGCTCGAGAAGAATTAATCGATAGCACACTTATGCCCGCCAAATGGTCCTCTGAATCCATCCATGGGAATTTTCGCAATCTAAAACGTAGTAGGGGTGTAGCCACGTTTCTTAAGTTTCGATCCAACTGTCCAGACTGGTTGGATAACTGAGCACTCAAGGCTGTCTCTTCAGTGCTGATTGGACGTTTCTTAACCTTCCTCACGCCTCACTCGTATGAGACGCAGTATTCATCCAGATCACCTAACTTGTTCTCACCCGATTCTCTCGAAAACTCTCAACCCGGATCCAAACACACATGCCTGATTAGTATCTGCCACTCTTTTAACCTCTGCCTGTTTCGAGTTGCTCTCATCCTAGTAAAAGTACGCCAAAATTACTAGCATGTTATGAATAGGTCGAGAAACCCGACAGTTCGACGGCCGTTTCCAACGATGTCCATCGTGTGCTCCACAAAAAGGCGATAGCAGGCACGGCGACTTATGCAAAAATGTAGTTTATAGTGATTGTAGGCTTGCGCACTATCTACCACACTCTCTCCTCCCCCCACCTAGACCCGGTGTCAAAACATACTCAAGAAGACTGGAGGCGGGAGAGGGCGCAGGTGGATGGCATGGTCGAGCCCGCACCTTGGCGATCCACTCCACACCCCCAGATTCACACAGCAAATGACCGGGTTTTGACCAACAGCAAAAGGGTGACTGTCACGGCCAAAGTCACACCTAGGCGTGCCGTACAACTGGCTCGGATCCCAAGGTGTGTGTCATAAAGGCCACATTAAGGTCGAGAAACCGAATGACACCCTGAAAACCTTACCCACTCTTTATTTTAATTTTATTAAGATACTAGAATGTGTTTTACGGAAGGCGAAGGAATAAATTCAAAGTAATGTGGGTTTGCGTCACAGCGAAATCTTTAATGCTGCTATAAAACACCTAAAAGTTCACGTCACTTAATCGAAGACTCAGGCACTCTTCTGACGTTTTGAGTATAGTGGTTTTTTCCGAAAGATATGTTCTTCTTAGTAACATTTTGATATACATAACCAGTTAATCAATTCAACCAGAAGACATTTTGCTTTTAAATCGCCAAATTTTCTCTTTACCATTTACCCAGATATATTCCTTTGCGTGACCTTCTAAAACTTAATTTGAGCAGTCCGATTTCTGTGGGACAAGCGTACGGTTTTCTGATTATTTAATATTCATGTTTTGTGGTTGCTGACTTTAAAAGTAGATTCACATCATCTGAGCGGTTCTGTACAGTACACCTAGCTGCCTAACTAAGCTGCGCCGAAACGGATCTTCAGGTCGAATATGAAAAGTCTATAAAAAGGACACCCGATGGATGAAAAATTTCGGTTTTTTCGGACCCACATTCGAATCCATCGTCAGAGAGCGAAGCAGAGAAGAGCAAGATATCGACAGCTAAAACTAGGCTCAGACGTTTGAGTGTAACAGGTGTACTACACAAAGTTTCAAAGCGATACTGGCTGGTAAGCAGACGATCGTCCTCGTGTGATTGAAATACCTAGTTAAAATCGTAGTTCATATATGCCTCATGTCGGGAGAGGTAAATTATCAATCGTTCAGTTAAACAGAAAGTAGGAAGTCAGCTGTATGAAGCAATTTTGGACCACAGTCGTTGTAAAAACGATAAATTTTGTCCTGCATCACTTAATCCAATTAGGCAGTTCGTGGGAAAATGTCTTCTCCGAATACTGTCATTTAAGACGACAGAGGAAATGCTGCGTCATGTGGACAAACTCACGTGCCCAGCGCAATAACTTTCTCCCTGTCATGTGAGGCACTGGTTAATTAACTCAGTTTGCGAAATCTTTTCCAAGCTGCTCACGGTAGGTAGTTCGGGGGGTTAGTTAAATTCTTACGACTGTTAGAAAAACTTACCCAGCAGCGATTAAATGATTACTTGGGCGACCGCATATGCTGTCAGCCACCAGTAGTATCGGAAACCCCAAACCACCAGGCCCGAGGTGTCATTGCTTAATGCACTGAGTGTCTCAGGTGCGGGTGCCAATCCCAGAACAAAATACCAACGTAAAACAGCCTTCAGTAGATGGATATTAGTCTATTCTAATCTTGGATCAGACACAGCAGAGGCGACTCCCGTAAGGCACGCTTAGTCCTGAAAAGCTCCATTAAGTGACGCCCTTGTCCAAACCGAATTTAAAATTTTTTCACGGCGACAAACTCGTCCTATCGACTGTTTCACACTAAGGAACACGAGGCACTTAGTCACTGACAAATGAGGAATTGGAGCGACGGTAGGTTGTGTGACCCCACTCCGCATCTAGTACAGTGAGTGATCGATCTCATGAAATGTTGGCCGAAATCCTGAAATGTGTTTACGAGTAAGAAGGATTACTTAAGTGGGGTTGTAATATTGATTATCTTGTGACATGATTCTATAATATTTCGGACTCGCCGGGATGTCGGCTTCTGAATGCCTTCTTTCCGACCTTCTGTAAAAACCGCACTCGGTAAAAATTGACTAGTTAAGTAGCATGCATTTTTCACATTGATTTTCGACGGTTTTGCAAATTCAAATATATTTTATAGAAAACGTGCACAAAATATGCCTTATTTTACTTGTTTAGCAGGAAATCACATTGTCTTCGTATTTTATGGGATTTTTAAGACCATGCGATGTTCATACATGCAACATTGCACATTCACTTTTACCAATGCTCCCCATTAAATCTATAATACAGACTGCATAAAATTTTATGAAATTTTTATGGTGTCTTCTTAAAGACGTGGAGAAATATATGATTTTAATTTTATGGAAAGCATATACCTTGTAGACTGAAATCGCCAAACGCTAGTACAAAGGCCAACCAAGCTCAAAATAATTTGGGAATTGAGAAACTTTTTCGAAACCTAAATATACTCTTTCTTCAAGTATACAATATAAAAACAACCTTATTCTCTACTAAACGAGCAGAAGAAGGCATATTTTTGAACATGTTTTCTATAAAATATATTTGAATTTACAAGACCATCGAAAGTCAATGGAAAAATGTATGCTACTTAACTAGTCAATTTTTGCAGACTGTGGTTTCTGTAGGAGGATGAAAAGAAATGCATTCTGAAGCCGACATTCCGGCGAATCCAAAATACTGTAGGATCATGCCACAAGATAATCAGTATTACAACTCCGTCTGAGTAATTCTTGCTAATCGAAAATGAATTTCAGAATTTCGGCCAACATTGCTTGAGATCGATCACGCATTGTAACTCCAAGCTCTCGTAGTACGGAAATGGTGGTAATACGGGTTTTACAGATGAGGCATCACCTCATAGGTAGGGCGAAATCCATACAATAACATATTATTCTACTGAAGTTCTTCTTCTTCGTCTATGTATAGCAACGGAAGCAAACGAGTCATTTGAAAAATGAACAAAAGGCAAGTCTCAATAAATAAAAGTAAATGAATAATCCGCCGTCTGTAAATCTGCGACAGTCCAGGGACCAATGGCACGATTATTCGATAGGGGAGAATAGTGGGTATAAAATTTAGTAATTTCGAAAATTTACTGCAAGGTGGAGCGATGCACGTGAATATTAGGGAAGCTGTGGAAGCATAACCTAATTAATAAGGGAAAAAACCAAATAACCTAAGTCTGGACGTCTGGTTATATCTTTATAATAAGTCACCCTGTTACCGTAAAATAACAATGTTAGGGAAACAAATAATAATGCGTAGAGGTCATGCACAACAATGAAATGTATTTATGGACCGAAGAGGTAATAATGGTTGTTTATTTCCTCCTAAGAAACAGAACCAAAGTACCAGGTCGCAGAGAATTCAGACAATCGCAGCTTGATTTTCTGATCAAAGCGACGGAAATGATCGAGGCTATAAATTCGGAGAAGGTGGTAGAATACTGCCAGAAAAGGGCAGCATTACCTAGCTTAGCAAAATGCCAATGTGTTAGGCTGCAAACGGACAGTTAAATATTCCGGTGCGACCAATGTCGAGGGAGGAAATCTCTAGGAGCTCCGATGTCGGGTCAAATAATTTGGGTCACGCAGACAAAGTTTAATATCGTCTGTGGTTTGGCCCAGTCAGCGTAGGTTTGAATCAGGCGCGGGAAATTGTCCTGTCAGATATTGCGCAAGCGTATCCGATGGAAAAGCTTCCCGAATAGGAAACCTGAATGACTCATGAAATCAATTTGACAACCAGTGGTAAGTTAATTTTTGCACGTATTTTCAACCGAATTTAACTACCTTATTCTGGTTATAAGAGAGACTACGCACTAGTAAATTTGAAGTAGTAAGTAGGCCATGACGTACGTGTTTGACAATAGAAACGGTTTGGAGATACCGAGGAAGTCGAGTGTGTATGTCCTACCCAAGCCAAAGTAAACCAAAACGCAGCCACCCTTTGGAAAGAAAAGGATAACGAAATAAGGCGAGTGAAAGCCTAAGGCTGGCTAACACCAGATAATTTATCAATAAAAAGATCACACTGGAACGACTCGGTTCGTTTGTTCATATCAGTGTGCAAGACAAAACTCAAAGAGTTGCTTCCTGTAGCCATGAATTAATTAACTATGCGAGGGTTGCTACAACAAACATAGTAGTTAGTAATCTATACTAAACCTCGTGGTGTTACAGAACCTATCCTATTAGAATACGAGAACCGCTTTATAAGGCAGCAAAAGCCGTCTCATTGAGACATGCTCTAGGTACAATAGTTGGTTGGCCTTCAGATCAGACCAACACCAATCCACTTCAAATTGTTCTTACCCTCAAAAGCCTCGATCGGAAATCGTCTTGAAAAATGGCACTTATGCCACCAAGAAGCGTGGTACTCTGAGAATGAACGCTACGCAGGACATTTCGGCCGCCGCATACGACGGTATCTGCCGCGGAGTGGGTGCAGGAGCGCAGACTTGCGCAGCATCTATTGCACCTTCTCCTTCCCCACCCGCCCTACTTCGAAGGCAAGACAATGTCAGGAAGACCAAAAACGGGCTTGGACTCGCTGAGAGATTGAATTATGCAGGCCGTCTACTCGTCCCACACACGGCCTAGTCCCCACCACGTGTAGAGGCGACTCGGACTTAACGTCAGTGAGATTGCAGCAAGGGCCATGCTATGGGGGAGGGGCCACTGCAGTGTGACTCACAAATCCCCAGTCGCTTGAGGACTCAGCTATCCTGCCAGTTGGCAATCTTCCAAGCCACGACTCCTTGCGCGTCGTGATAGATTCAAACATGGATGGAAGCGAATATGCGAATCCCAGGTTTTTATTGTAAAGAAGAAGAACACACGATCTCTGGGATAGAAGGTGTATTAGTCTGAGCTTTCGGTCTCGTACGGAAGACCATCGTCACAGACTTTGAGAATGCGGCATCAAATAAGCAGTCTTTGTAGTCAAGCCATGAAGGGAAAGGGGATAGGAGTGCAGAGGGTGGTATTCGCGATAAGCCGAGTCCCATGCCGTCTCATGGCGGCGTGACTGCGTGCACCCTTGGCTGGGAACTGGGTCTCGCCTCTTGGCCGCGGGAACGGAGCGCCTGATAGCAGGGGGGGGGATGTCAACGTGTCTGCTGATAGAATTGGTGTCAGACACCCAGGCCTCCATCAGTTCTCGCACTGTCTTATTGTTGGCCCGCGCGTGCTCGCGAAGTTGAATTCGTGGCCCTTATCCAGGGTGTGAGCGACGACCGTAGACAACGGGTCGCCTCTCCGGACTACCCGTTTATACTCCGTCATTTGTGAGCTAAGTCGTCGTCCGGTCTGTCCTGTGTAATGGCGAGGGCAGTCCCCACATGGGATCTGATAAACGACACTCGATTGTTCTCCCACGTCTAGCCGGTCCTTCACTCGCATGATTTTTTTGCGCATGCTCGCTGTCGGACGGTGAGCGATACCCACGCCGAGCTCTCCAGCGATACGTTCCATCGCTTCGGACACCTTCTTCATATATGGTAGAGGGTGCCAGAGTGTTGGCGGCTCTCCTTCGTTTGTTCGCCGTGGGTGCGTGCGGAGGCAGCGGCTGACAAAACTGTTCGGGTATCCATTCCTTGCTAGCTAGTCCCGAAGATGCCGAAATTCTCGTGCTCGTCCCTCTGGCTCACTGCAGTGCGTTTTTACCCTTTGGAAGAGTGTCCTAACACAGCTGCGTTTATGCGCCATTGGGTGGTTACTATGGTAGTTGAGAATCTGAGTCGTGTTCGTCGCCTTTCTGTGCACCGTGGTGCTGGGTTCGCCGTTGGGTGTGCGTGCGACGAGAACGTCAATGAAAGGCAGCTGTTCGGCATGCTCTTCTTCCCGTGTGAACTGAATGTCCGGGAATATGCCGTTAAGCAGGTCTTGAAAGTCGGCCAGTCGGCTCCTTTCAATTATAACGAACGTGTCGTTCACGTACCGGCGCCAAAATGCAGGTTCATAGTGGTGGAAGGCGACCTTTTCCTGCTCATGCAGGACTAGTTCTACAACCAAGCTGGATATTGACGAACCCATCGGCGTTCCTTTGGTCTGCTCGTATGTTCTATCATTGAAGGCGAAAAAGATTTGTTGGCAGAATGCAAAGATTCAAGCATGCTCCCTGATTTGCCCTGGAGAAAGATTCCCCAGTCATGAAGAAAATAAAATGTTCCCTGGAACAAGAGCTTTTTTCGTGTGACTATCCGATTCCTGCTCGTATGCATCATCAGAGACAACGACAGATGCGAGAAGTTCATGTACCAGGGGGCTTAAGTATTTATGGCATGCAGTCGCCATGCCACTGCATATCTATGAAAATTCACGGCACCCTCCCCCCCCCCTTATGGAATTTTTGTCTTCAGTAAACATGCCCCTGACATGCCGTGACAGGTGTAGGTGAGCCTGGGTAGCCAATAGAAGAGAAGAGACGAGTCCGAGAAAGCAGTCTTGAAGAAGGAGACACGATCGCCGCGACAAAAGCTTTATTAGCCCGACGTTTCGGATTCCTGCTCGAACCCATCATCAGAGACAAAAGCAGATAAATACGGGTAGTTCATGCACAAGGGGCTGCAGTACTTATAGGATGCAGTCGCCATGCTACCGCATACCTGTGGATATTCACGACTCCCACTTTCATCAGGCATTGTTGTACTTGGTGCGATGACTGTTCGATGGACGGCATTCGCACTGTTAATCGTCGTAGTTTCATCACGGGTGTTGGATGTTGGTGTGCTAATTCCTCGATCATTTAGCCCACTGATCCTGGCGTTGGAAAAAGTGTTCGTCTGTGCGCTCACCGCGTGGTTAATTACTTCGCCTAGGCTAAGTCTCAGCATTTAGCTTGGAAGGGGCAGGTCATTGCACTTGTTAACAAACTGGGGGCCAGTGAACCATGAACCCGGCAGCTCACGGGGCTGTCACCTTTAGAGAGAATTTTGACCCCGACGACCTTGAAAGTATGGCCGTATTCCGTTGAGGATGCCGTAACTTGGGAGCTGGCGTCATTTTTCTGCACTGCTCCCGCATGTTCGCGTTGGGAGTAAATTTCCGGTTTCTTCGACGTAGTTGCTTTGGCCGCAACTGCATCAGATACCATATGCGATTCCAGACGTCTCTTGCCGTTGGCAGTGGGCCTTTCAGTCCCATTACCATAGGCCTGAAGGTCGCCTTGGGTCTCTGTTAAACCCCCGCTCCAAGTGGTGCGAGAAAGCAGCCGGTGGCTTCCTAAACTGTCCTGACGTACGGAATCGCCCGCCAAGGGCGTTGGACACCTGTCGAAGGTATTGTAGTTCGCCAATCTTTTCTTGTTCCAGTAGGAATCCGAAATGTCAGTCTAATAGGGCTCATGTTCTAGAGATCGTTTCTGTCTTTTCACGACAGCTTCCTGGGATTCATCTTGCTTCAAACGGACTGGCCATTGTCAAACTGTCCATCTCCTCCCTCTTACCTGTATCACTCCACTGTCCGAGTTTCTTTGGCGGTTGATTATGGGATAGGGCGCATTGGCCGGCGCTTCGAGTTGTGGCCTGGCACACAATCAACGCCGCCAAATAAGCACACCTCGTGAGCCAGTCTGCATCGAGGTCTGTTGTAGGGGGAAGGGGTCGAACGGGCAACACTACAAGCAGTGAACCATAGTTTTGAGGTAAATGCCCATTTTCTGGGACATTGACTTCCGTCAACCTGCGAAACTTTTCTCTCGGCGTTTGTCTAGTATGTGAGATTTTACGCCTTTGACGAAGCAAAACTGCCGTGAACCTTTCGGTGAAGATTCATCACTCCCGAATGCTTCAGATGCTGCTCTGAAAGGTCCTTGTTCAGACCTGGAAAAGACTCCCAAACTTACACTCTACGGAAAGCAAAACCGATGAAACTGTTTGGAAACCGTCCAAAAAATCGCCGTGGCCAACGATTGGGTTAAGGACCCCCAACACACACGACCAGCCAAAGTTTCCTCTGCTATGGGAAAGGTGGTGATAGGGGTTTTACCGGGGGAAGCTATCTGTGCATAGAGGAATGGCAAAATAAATATAGATAATTGGTAAATTCGTTTTTCAGGTGGAAACGTTTTAATACATTGGCATATAGCAACCTACATTAAGAAGGACAATTTAAAAAATAAACATCAAGCGTCTACAATGATTGCTCCTCAACTTTCTGAGCTGAGGTCATTGTAGATGATGAACCAGACTGTCTACAGCAGACGACCAAATCGTGTACGATGAAACGACAAACGTGTCGGACGAAAGCCCACTTAAATAAGTATAGCAGGTACTCTGTGTGTGCCATAGATGCTTAGGGTCCCTCACCCGATCCTCGCCTCGCCTGCAAAGCAGATCACAGAATTACCTGCGGACGGAGCATTATTAGAGTCGGTTAAACTCGAAACGAATGTAGTCGCCAAAAATGTGATCAGTAAGTGTAGCCAACTTTAAGAGTATTGTAGCATTGTTTAAGGACTATGACACCTAAAACGTGGCTTCGATTGGGAGTACCTGGATTAATGCCTGATTGTGATTTGCTTTTGATAATTGGACGCAGCCGAAAATGTTGTCTCGGAGATAGCGCCAGGCTGTTAGGTTGACCTCCAGACACTAAAACCTTTTCATAGTTGTAAACAAATCGCACAGTCTTGTGAAGAGATTACTGCTGAAGACTACAGCAACCATTAATGGTTGCTGTCGATGACCTTGGAAGGCTATAGGCGCGTTCGAATAGCATCCGAGTCACCCATTTGCAATGCACATGGGCCTATTACCCGGCGTATGTGAATAATATTCCCAGACTATTTACGCCGATCAAATGTGGAGAAACAAATTAGCCACAAGGTGGCAGCGTGAGTATACATGCAAAACAAAGTTGCGCCTAGGTCTGCGGGCCTTTCGAGCATATTAAAACAAAACCTTTTGCGACACGAAAATCACCTCATCAACCCCCATCATCTGCCGACTTTTTGAAACCGAGAAAAGGTGTAAAGGTACCCCAAGGAGGGCTAGAGTCTCTGCCGCAGATACGTTCATTTGCCAGCCAGCCTCAGAGGCGAGAAGGCAGAACCCCTGCAGTAACTCATCTCCCAGGTGAAGAGAGAGGGGATGAACATTTTTGAAAAAAGGGACGTAAGCTCTGCGTGGTGCATTTCCAGATGCATCTGGACAACACCGTCAGCGACAGCACGATGGACACCACGAAGGCGCGACGGACCCTTTTCGAAGCGCCTACCAGATAAAGAGACATTCGATAAAACGAAAACCAGAACTTCGAATGTAAATAAATTACGACAAGATCTTACTTCGTAACTGTGCCTGTGAGGGGTTAGGGTTTAGAGGTTGGGGTTAGGGGTCAGGGTTAGTGGTTGGCGTTGGGGGTAGAGGTAAGCTGGGGCTTGTCAACTACAGATACGGTTACGAGATGAGATCCGACCTAAGAATAAGTGCAGCGGCGAGAGGTGAGAAGCGAGACGAAGAAAGAGTGCACACTGGCACGCCTGCTGTCGTAACTACAGTAGGTGGGCTAACTCACGAAATGTCAACCGAAATTCACAAATGCGTTTTCATTTCGAAAAGATGAATTAAGTATGGTGGTGAAACTTATCATCGCGCAGCATAAATTTGTAATAATTCAGTTACCTCAGGATGCTGGCTTTCGAAGAAACTATATTTTGTAAAAAATGACTACTTCAGTAGCATGCCTTTTTCTTGTTGATTTTCGATACCCTTAAAAATTCAATTATATTTCATGGAAAACATGCATAAAAGTATTCACTCTTTTGCATAATCGGTAGAAAATTACGTCTTCTTCCAATATGAAGAAAGGATATAATTCAGTTTTAAAAAAGTTTCTAAGTGTGAGATTTTTAATACAGTGAAATGACCATTCATAAAACTTCATGTCTATGCATTTATCAGTGTGGCTTGTACAGTTAACAATATGACTCTAATCCACTATCAAATTTCATGAACCCCATATGGTCACCTCTTAATACCATAGAGAAATATGTGGTTTCCCGTAAGCGGAAAATATACGACTTGTAGTTTAGAAATCGTGAATGCAAGTGTAACGGCAGGTCAGGTTCAAAATTACTAGAGAATTGGAAAAGTTTTTTAAGTCTAACTATACCCTTCCTTCGAGTATCATTTCAGAAGAAGACGTAATCTTCTACCGAATGAGCAAAAGAATGAATGCTTTTATGTATGTTTTCCATGAAATATAATTGAATTTTCAAGGGCGTCGAAAATCAATGAGAACAAATGCATGTTACTGAAGTAGTCATTCTTTACAGAGTATAGTTTTTTGCATGCAGCCCAAAGGAAGTTCGTTCGAAAGCCAGCATCCTGAGATAACTGAATTATTATAGATTTATGCTGCTTGATGGTTGGTTTTACAACCCCACTTGATTCATCTGTTCAAAAAGAAAACACATTTCGGAATTTCGATTGACATTGCGTGAGTTAGCCCGCATACTGTAAGTTGATCAGCACCTGCGGGTAGAAGCTCAAACCTGTGTATTCAGTGCAGATAAAAATTCAAAAACGGCGGGTCTCCAGCGTCATGCGACCGGGTGTGCTCGTCTGAAAAGTCAAAAAATCGCTCTTCATACTTTCCAATGCTAATTAATACACAGTGTAGGAGGTGCGCTGAGACTTGAGGGCGGTTCAAACTGGCAAACGTCAATTCACGATGCTGCTGAGACGTGTACAGGACTTCATCTGCGGAAGATCTCTGCTCTGCGTACTCGCGTTTCTGGGCACATGTGTTGATCGTGGGTGCAGTTGGCTGAACAGACGCATGACTTGGCGGAAGAAAAACACCTATCAGGGTTCCTCCTTTATCGTCTGTATTTTCAGTCACTATCGCTGAACTGATATTTAATAGAATGAAAAACATTATGAGCATTACCGCTCTTAACCTGATCGCCGGTTGAGGCCTGATAAGTTGTCGCACGCTCCTGATTCCCAGCAGCCTCATCCGTGTACCCCATAGCAGAGTGGGGGCAGAGAGTCAGTCTATGGTGGTAGTAGACTTGCGCAGCGTCTGCT